ATCCAAACTTCACTGATAGCTTGTTAAAACTAAGAAATGCATCGTTCGAAACGAGAGAGTTAGCAACTCCGCAAAACGATACAAACTTACGTTATAAAAGTTTGAGAGGCAAATACAAACATGCGCAAAGCCGAGATACGTATTACGGTACAGCTGGATGGTTGTTTAGCCGTTTTTTAATCCAAGATGGCGCTGATGGACGTTTGAAACGAAATGGACATTGGTGAAGTCTACTACATGAGACGATGGCCGTTGGGGCAGAAAAGTTCTCGAGTGACGACCACGGGCTGGAAGACGTAGCGTGGGCAGGCCTTCTACTAGGTGGACCGACGATCTGGTGAAGGTCGCGGGAAGAGTTTGTTTGCGGGCAGCGCAGGACCATTCATTGTGGAAAACCTTGGAGGAGTGCAGTGGACGTCATTCGGCTGAAACGAACGAACGAACGAGGCATCCGCTAAGAAAGGATTTTACGAAACTCCACTCCTATGAGTATAATACGGGATCAACAGACGGTCGCTAATTAGACATAAAAATGCTAGAGTAATTAATTAGATTTTCCTTAAGAATCTACAATTTAGAGCCAATTTGTAAATTATTTGTTTCGCGACAGTCCATATTTATGACCATAAAGGCTTTATTATTTCGTAAGCTTACATTTACAATCGCCTCCTCATAATTTAAATTGAAAGAAAGAAAATAATTGAATGCTTTCTGAAAATTAACATCAAATTATTTCCCTGAATTGACTATAATTCAAGCATCCATCGCATCAAAACATTGAGAAAACATAAAGCAAAATTCTACATCTAGTTTCAAAGTAAAAAAACCATGTCCCTTTTCCATTACATAAAGAGAAAGTTAAGTGAACATCTCTCAATACCAACTCTCATGGAAAAAGGATGAACATTTCCACCGATTACGTTTTTGAACGTAATATTAAAGATTAATGCTAGTATTATAAAAGGAATATGTATATGAATATGAAATTTAGTAGGGATCTAAAAGCTGTTTTCGTTCGATCAGGAGGATTAAGAATACGCGATGACGCGTTCTTTTGTTTTGTTTCGGTGGCTTTGGGTCAAAACTCATAGTATTTGTTTTTGTAATTTGTGTCTTCTGTGTGCTTACCACGAGTTCACGTTAGGTGTGCTCGCTAGCGAGTACGTCAAAAAATCTATGAAGATTTTATTTCTTGAAAGTAGCCACTAGGGGCGCTGCACAATATGTCATACGTTTAATGTCATTTTTTTACCCAGTCGCAAGCGAGCACACCTAACGTAAACTCATGGTAAGCACACTGAAATATAAGTATAAAGTTTACTTTGCTTTGTAATAAGTTCAGGATCGGGCATACAAGTCTCAAGCCTTATTCAGTGTAGGCCGAATCCTTTATTTGCCTATGGTAAATGAGAGAGAGGCCGGAAGACGTAGTGTGGGCAGGCCCCCCACTAGGTGAACCAACGATCTGGTGAAGGTCGCAAGAGGTGCTTGGATACGGGCGGCAAGGACCGGCCGTTGTGGAAATCCTTGGGGAAGGCCTCTGTCCAGCAGTGAACGTCATTTGGGAGAAACGAATGAACGAATTCTGAGTCTGGAGTGAACGAAGTGAAGACTCTGAAAGATCTGATAATCTTCTCAGATCATCATCAGATCAGATGCTTATAATAAAATAGACAGATTTAATTGGATTCCCCTTTACCATTAGATCTGTAGAGACCTCCTTTACGACACAGCTAAATTTATAAATCTATAAACGATATTCTGTATTAAACGAGTTCATTGTAATCAGCAGGAAAACGTGATATGCGCGGAAAATGCAAATGTGTCTACTACAAGGCAAATGTCATTGTGTCTGCTTCATACTAAGTTCTCAATCCCCGTGATTTCAAAATTCAATCAAGATATCATAGTAAACCCAACTTCAATACACCTCTGCATTGTAATGCCTCTAAACAAAACTGATAAACTTCAAACCGGTGCCTTCATTTGAATTCAAATTAAATGATATTGGTACAGACGACGGCATATCAAGCTTTACTGAGGTCTCTTATGTAGTTGGATTAAGGACGACTTTGGAATAGAAATGTATAATCTGACGTGCTTCTAATGTACGTAAGAAAATTGTAATATCAAATCGATACATATTATCTGCTTTGCCGAGCGAATGTTAAATTTTACAGCATACCTACCTTTCTTTAATAATAATAATAATAAGTATCCCCACACAAGCCTTATAAAGGACCGGGCCACTTTTGACCCGTGAGCTCCAAAGCGTACAAACATAATAATAATAATAAAAATACTTTATTTTTTCACCAAAAACAAATACAATTTGTTAATTACAAATTAATTATTACATTTGTTGGCGTTATTTAGGTGAACTGGAGCCTAAACTAGGATAATCCTGTATTTCAGGACTCCAGTGTGCTTACCATGAGTTTACGTTAGGTGTGCTCGCTAGCGAGAACGTCAAAAAACTTTATGAAGATTTTATTTCTTGAAAGTAGCCGCTAGGGGGCGCTGCTAGGGCATGTAATATCGGAAGGTTTTCAATTCCGATATTGATTTCCGATATTAGATCTCAATATCGGAATTCCGATATTAATATCGGAATTGAGTTTGTGTTATAAATTGAATACATATTTGATTATTTTCGTAACATTTCTTAATTGTATAAAGTAAAATAATGATTTTAATCAATATCTTTAATTTGGTACAAAACAGCACTTCTTAAAATTATAAAATTGAAGTATTTAAAACCATTTTTGTATGTTATGGGTATCCAATTCCATTGCATTTAGTTACTGATAATAGGCCAATATGGACTAGCAAAGAATTAAAGTGTTTTTGTAAAACAGGTATCAAACAAACTTTTACTTCATCAACCAATACTGGCGGAACGATTTTTAGAGTCATTCAAGTCAAATGTTACAAAAATTTTAGGTAGTGGTAAAAAAACTTGAATATCCTTGTAATTTGTTCCTTTTTGATTATCGATATACAACTCACAAAACCACGGACCATCATCATCATCATCATTTCAGCCATAGGACGTGCACTGCTGAACATAGGCCTCCCCCAATAATTTTCACAATGGTTGGTTGGTAGCGGCCTGAGGTCCACCTTGTGAATGGCAGTCCTACTCTGCGATTTCCGGTACATGACCTCCACTCCAGAACCTTGCTGCCCCATCGGCCGTCAGTTTTGAGTACTAGTGCGGAATCGCTGGAAGACCTCGGCACAATGCTCGAATCTTAATTGAATCTCCCAACAGGTAGGCCTTCGGATGAACATGGACAAAACAAAGCTTATGACCATTTTGCGCTCTACCTATTTTCGGTTAGGAGCTCGATTCTCGAGATTATTGGCAAGTATGTCTACCTCGGACAAATGATTCAGCTATTCAATTTCATAGATCAGTGTTTTTCAACCTGTGGGTCGCGACCCCCTGGGGGGTCGCGAAGCCTCTATAGGGTCGCGAGAGGTCGTAAAAACTACTTCAGTAAAAAAAAAATCTTATAAAGACAGATAAATCCGAAATCTAACTATGCAAATGTTGTATGGATTGAATTATTCGGTCTCTACAAACATCTTTGCAACATTACAAAATGCATGAAAAAAAAGCGAACAGACGGGGGGGTCGCCTAAATTTTTTCATACTAGGGGGGTCGTCTCATGAAAAAGGTTGAAAAACACTGTCATAGATGATCATAGATGCAATTTCGAGAAAGAGGTAAATCGTCGAATCCTACTCGGCTGGGCCGCGTTCGGGAAACTACACAACATCTTTTTGTCCAAAATACCTCAGTGCTTAAAGACGAAAGTCTTCAATCAATCAGTGTGTGTAACCAGTGATGATATACGGCTCGGAAACGTGGGCTCTCAAAGTTGCACAGCGTGCTATGAAGAAGGCTGTGCTTGGTGTTTCTTTACGCGATCTAATCAGAAATGAGAAGCTCCGTTAACGAACTAAAGTCGCTGACATAGTCTGACGGACTAGCAAGCTGAGTGGCAATGGGCAGGGCACATAGTAGGTACGCAGAACTAACGGGCCATAGTCCAATTAATGTTTGGAAGGGAGTTGAGATGTCGTTTTTCATTGCTAAGACCAAGTACGGCAAGCGTTAAAATTTTTTAGAACAAGTAAAATTAACCATAAATATTTGCAGTGGGACAAAAAGTGATGGTGAGGGACATGAGAAAATCATTGGTCTTTGCCAATCATGTACTTTGGGCTTTGTGGCAGGTTGTGGCGCGTTTAAACGCTTTGTTTAAAATCTCAATTAAAACCTTTATCTGATTCCGATATTACGATATTGGGTCGCTCAATATCGGAATTGTAATATCGGATCTCGTACTCCGAGATTCCGATATTACGAGATTCCGAGATTCCGATATTCATGCCCTAGGCGCTGCACAATATGTCATACATTTAAATGTCATTTTTTTACGCAGTCGCTAGCGAGCACACCTAACGTAAACTCATGGTAAGCACACTGGTCTCTTACCCGCGGTACGGGTGTTGAAGTATTTAAGTATTTTATTGTAACGTAAGGATACAAATAATGAAAAATTAGCGAAAAACCAAAATCAAGAGTTCGTAACTAAATATTACTAACGTGTGTGTGTGCGTGTGTGTGTGTGTGTGTGTGTGTGCGTGTGTTGTGTTGTGTATGTGTGTGTGTGAGAGTGTGAATGGGATGGAGATGAAGGATGTGCCTGAAGGTTATTTTGTGATGTTCGTGTTGAAATTAGTTTAAGACAGTCAAGAGTGATTCCGTCATGATATAATTTGAGTTTAGCAAATAATTTGTTATTATACGTTTTTAGCTTCAAATAAGGTTTTCGGGTAAAAATTCAGTGTTGAGTTTAATTTTTTGTATAGATAAGGTAAGAGGAAGCATGTCTGTCGTCGCAGGAATACGGTGTTATATTTATTTGATTTGCAGATTTTCTGGGTGCGTGTGTTAAGATTTTTTGCGTCGTATGTTAGGTGTCTGTGTTGGCGAAGTGTAGCATGCAGGACAAATAGTTGTCTTACGGTTAAGACTTTGGTTTCCTCGTACAGGCTTTGAGTTGGGTACCTGTAGGGCTTGCGCAGCATTACCTTTAGCAGGTGTGTGTGTGTGTGTGCGTGTGTTGTGTTGTGTATGTGTGTGTGTGAGAGTGTGAAGGGGATGGAGATGAAGGATGTGCCTGAAGGTTATTTTGTGATGTTCGTGTTGAAATTAGTTTAAGACAGTCAAGAGTGATTCCGTCATGATATAATTTGAGTTTAGCAAATAATTTGTTATTATACGTTTGGCTTCAAATAAGGTTTTCGGGTAAAAATTCAGTGTTGAGTTTAATTTTTTGTATAGATAAGGTAAGAGGAAGCATGTCTGTCGTCGCAGGAATACGGTGTTATATTTATTTGATTTGCAGATTTTCTGGGTGCGTGTGTTAAGATTTTTTGCGTCGTATGTTAGGTGTCTGTGTTGGCGAAGTGTAGCATGCAGGACAAATAGTTGTCTTACGGTTAAGACTTTGGTTTCCTCGTACAGGCTTTGAGTTGGGTACCTGTAGGGCTTGCGCAGCATTACCTTTAGCAGAGACCTTTGGGCGCGCTCCACTTTTATTAATTTTGTCTTGCATGCTCCACCCCACACCGGTATACAGTAGCTCAAGATGGATTGTACCAGTGCGTAGTAAATTGTTATTAGCAGATTAGGTTTTAAGATGTTTCTTAGCTTTTTGAAAATCCAGATCAATTTGCGTGTTCGAGTGGAAACGAGTTCTATTTGTTTATGCCATGACAGTGTTTCGTCCAATTGGATGCCAAGGTATCTGATGTTATCACATTTATCTATAGCCTGGCAAGAACAAGTTGAGAAATTTGTGTTACGACTTTTGCACTTGTGAATTCTCAGTGTGATATTATTCGGTTGAGTGGCTTTGTTTATTGAAAAGGTAATGTATTTTGACTTATTTATGTTTAAAGTTAGAAGATTTTGGCATAACCACTTGTATATTTCTTCAAGTGCCTTTTCTGCGTGATTCAGAGTCTCCGCCCAAGTCCCTCCCTGGAATACCAGCGCTGTATCATCAGCATATGAGAATATTTTTCCACCTAAAGGTTTGAAATTGCAGAGTTCGTTTATGTAGACCAGGAAAAGACTTGGGCCGAGAACACTGCCCTGTGGGACGCCACAATTTATGGGTAAAGGACTACTAGTGTGATCTCCTATTTTGACAGATTAATAACGGTTTGTTAAAAAAATTTCAAAAAGCTGTAAGGGAATACCGCGTACACCCACCAATTCAAGTTTCTTTAGTAGTATGACTGTGGGGACTGTGTCAAAAGCTTTGGCGAGATCTAAAAAGACCCCTATACATCTTTTTTCTTTAGGTATTGATATTAAGTTTGATTAAAATCCATGTTTTGAAAACGAGATTGTTATTGTGATTGCTGTACTTTTCCAAGAAAGAAAGAGTAGAAAGAAGAGAGAAGCAAGAAAAATTTATTATTTTGGTTTTCATTATCATATTTAAACGTTATAATCTCACCTGGTAGCGACTTATCTTCGCCCAATATCACTGTGTACTCATATTGCGCAGGTTAATTCAAATTATTGTATTTGCATTACTAAACAAAACATAACTCTGTAGTTTGCATTAATTTTTAAAAGGGGAACAGTGTTACAGTCGAAATAACTTCATTCGACTGTAGGTAACACTGTTCCCCTGTGAATTTGTATTCACAAACATTACTGAGAGGTCTCACAGTGCGCGTGGACGTACAGGGTGACACACGAACCAATCACAGAGTTCTATTAAACGCAGTGAGTTCGATTTGCTGCTTCACTTAAGCAAGCATCGTTTGTGAATACGGGTGATTTAGGCTGCATTTCAGTTTTGAAACCTACATTTTATGCCTACGCAAAATCCGCTGCAAAAATCAATAATCACACCCACATTAAAAATACGTGCCAAATCTAATAAAAAATTCCTCTAACGTATCTTAATACTTGTAAATAAAAGTACCGTTCGACACGGGTCGGTTTGACGACGGTCGGATAACGCTTATAGGTAACAAAGTGAATAAATAACGTTAGCTGATTTGAGAATGGATGTTCTGTGAGGTTTTTGATCTTTGCACGCTCTTGTTTTTTTATGAATAAGTAATGATATTGATTTCGGACGGGGCTTGCTTGGGATGATTGATATAAATAATACTATGTATGTATGGATGTTGAGATATCAATATTATGGTTTCCTATAGTTGTAAAAGGTGCGATTTTGTAGTCAATTTGTAGAGTTCAGAATATCGTTATTGATAATGCGACTACAATAGAACAGGGTATGCATGGTTGGTACTATGCATACCCTGCATTCATGTGGTCATGAAGATTGTAAGCAGGTAGGTTTGGTAAAATTTGTCTATTTTCTTAAAGTTTCAATATATTAAAAAGAACATCAGACTGAATCCGTACTAATCTGTTCTGTCTGTTAAGTACTTTTTCACGCTTAAACTACTGAACCGATTTAGATGAAATTCGGCTAGAAATAGTTTCGTTTGCTCGTTTGCCTCCTATCACATAAAAAAAAAAAAAAAAGTTTAAGACTCAGGAAATCACAAAATAGTTTTTTCGAAAACGGCAAACGAGCGCAAAGAAGTCTTACTGTCACAAATCGAAATTCACGAAGTTGAAGCCACGGTAAAAAGTTATATTAAGGTACTTATTATTTTTGATTTCTCTTTCCACCAGGCGAATTTTAGGTCGAAAACGCAAACTCACTCGTAAATACAAATATTAAAAAGAAGCTAAGGTATGTAGAAAGTAATCACGATATACACTTCATATACAATTTTGTTTAAGAAAACGCTTTTCCGTATCGCATTTCCATGCGAAATTCACACCTTTTACGGAAATGGACTCTATGCCGTTCACTGAAAGTTTAAAGCGCTGTAACTTTGCAGCCTAAATCGGGGTTTAGTCAGCAAAAAAATATAATAATACAAGAACGGCATTTATTATAAAGATTGGGCGAAAATCCACCATGTGGAGTCACGTTTCAGAGGTAATGACGTCACGCACATACTCTTCTGGGCGCAGACTAAGCATAATGCGCGAATATTATAACAAAGTAGCATAGTTTGATGTTTGTGTATCAAAAGAAATACGTAGATTTAAAACTTAGTTTCTATCAAAATGAAATAATAATGTAACGAACGAAGAGTCAAATGTTGAAGTGGTCTGATTATTTTAAAGAAATACATGATTTTGATATTCCTTCAAATCTAAGATCATATTCTTCAGTAGTATGTTTGTTTCTAAAATAATTAATAATCAATACTCAATATGTAGTACCTATAATGCTTCTATAATGTAAGTAGGTATGCGTATTAACTTCGTGTATTTCATCTCAATAGTTACTAAGTGAAAACAAGGCTTTATTGCAACATCTCCAGCTAGACTAATACCCCACTTCGATATACATCCATTAGTCCCAATCTTGCTACTTTATTATGTTGATTGATATCGATCCATCATCCGAAATAGCATACGACCTAATAAGTACGAGAAAATCCGAATTACCGTCATCTGGGTCAAGCTCATCCGTCCAGAAGTATCTGTAATTAGGTACCCTAGGTTATTAAAATAGCTTGTTAATCCCAATTTCGGCTGATACCCTTAGCGATTTACTAATATTTACCAATCTAAGTTATTGCACGTCCGAACGCCGTCATTAATTAAAAGATTAACATCTAAAGCAGGTTGGCCTTTTCTGGGGAGCCCCGTTAAGCAGCCGCAAGCTCAGAAAATATTGGTGTCCGCAAAGTCAACAATTCAGCATAATTGAATCGACATAGGTAATGGTTGCGATAAAGGTAGGCACCACCTGGTTGGGGGGACCACGTGGTGTGAGGGAGAGGGACAGAGGTTATGCGTCGCTTTTACACTAATGGCTTACAGGTAGCGAGGGAGGCAACAAGCGTATGAAGCTGGGCTCGAAGCAACATATGTTTCAAGACGTACGCATTGGCCCGTTATTTTGTTTCACAGCGAGACGTCGACACAAATAAGCTTCTTGTTACAATTTTCGTTGTCGATACGGCATTGTGGGTGACGGTTGATAACGAATTCAATCACGGAGCAGACGCACTTTAGGAGCGCTCTTGCGACGCCTCTAAAACGATTTTCGCCTGTTATTGATAAATGCTGACAAAAAGACGTGTAAAGGAACACACCGGAATAAATACTTTTCAGAAAAATAAACGTGACGTTTAATGTATGTCAAAATCGTAATGTTTTGCGTGTAACTTCAACTTTCTCAAATCTTCTGTAAAATGGGCTTAGATTTTCAAACAAGCCTGTTGATTGTTGTGAATGTGGTGCAAATGGTATCTATCATGATATTAGTATTACCAGTAGTCGATATAATAACGCTTTCGAAAACCATAAAACAGTTAACTAACGAAGCAAAAACAAACCCTGTTACGCTCGCTGTGATTTTCTTGTACGGTCTATGCATTTTCTGGTTTGGTATAATAGAGCCTACAAAAGTTTTTAACAATCCCAAAGATCACGAAGAATCCTCAAGAGAAAGATTGAGACATGTTATAGATGTAACAAATGCGTCCAGAAACTATTTATTAGGAGGTCTATCTTTATTTTTCTTGTTGGTGCAAATAAGACTTTGCGAATTCGTAAATTTTTCAGCTAAACTACACGAGTTCTCGGATTTGATGGGAAACTACGACATCATCGACATCGCTTACAATACTGAAACTGAAGCTGAGAAAGAGCCTGAGCCTTCATATATTTTTGACGAATTTATCGAGGAAGAAGACATTAATTCTGTCCGCTGGCCTAGTTTTGTTGAATTCAATAAGACAGAACACAATCAGATCAAGACATTTTTCAAAGCCACACCCAAGAAAACTGATGCTAAAGTAGACGGTGAAAAAAGTCCTACTATTTCGGAGGGAAAGCCAAGTGTTGACGGTAAAAAAGATAACAAATCAAAAGATACGACCGAAACTCAAACTGGTGCAGGTGCCTCGAATTCAAACGAAGTAGCTCAAAATCCAACTAATAACAGCGAACAAGGGGAAAATAAGGAAGAATCAAAAACCACTAACTGAATATTAATAATGATCAATATATTTAGCCTGGCTGTGGGCGGGATTCTCTTTTCTGAGTTGGTGGTTGTAATCGCATTACTAAAGCCTGTCATAGAACCGTACTACATACGAGATTTATGGTACCGCTTGCAAGAGAATTCCTTCCCTCCAAAAGTTTTGGGAATAGCCTTGCTATGTCTGTTTCTGAATACTTTCATGGATATGTCGTGGGAGAAAAATTACCATGGAAATTTATTGTCTGAAGTGAGAGATGTGAATATGGTTTTGGAGTTTTACCTGTCTAAAATGTCTATGTGTTATATCTGTTTTTTCGTCGTCCTATTTCTCTTTATGTTAATTGATAGAATACTGCAAAATGTTATAATAATTGCAAGGCTGTTGGAATTTGAATTGATGTGCAGACATGCTATCCTAACTAGGGACAATACGAACCAAGTGTATCAAACTGTTTTATTACTTACGAATTTGTATGATGTTGTCAATAAAAAGGATAAGCGTCCATTAAAGGAAAGTACGTAAATTATGTTAAAATAAATTGAATGGCACCACGCATTTTCTTTTTATTCAAATAATAAAATCCTATACTGAAAATTCTATTGTATTTTTAGAGTCAATCATACCTACATAGGTGAAAGTAACGAAACGTAAATATTGTAAATTAAAACTATATTGTTAGTAGGATTTTCTAAAATTGATTTCATAACGCATGTTAGATGTTCACTTCCAAACACAGAGTATTTATTTACTGCGGGATATTTTCCATTTTCCATGTCCATTTCTATTTCTGCTACAGATATTCTATTGGAAAAATACGAACCAATCCCCAATCTATCAACACGGGCATCCCAACTGAAAAATCTACACGTTTTACAGCGAGGTTTTTTTGATACCAAAAAAATCCAATCGTGTGTCAACTGACAGCGTACAATCCAGTAAAAAGAAAAAATACTTATTCACAAAACGAACGCCTGTCATCGCGTTGTCACAAAATTGTCAGTTGATCAATCGAAATGTAGAAAAGATTTAATTTTCTTTCCCGAAAACGGACCTTGCTCGGGGAAAAATGCCATAAAAGGTGCCGATTACATTCACGCCCGAGTTATCAAGACCAAGAAAATGGACGCGAGTTGTATATTCCTCACTTTCATGCTGCTCATCCAGATGGCTATGATCCTGATTATGCTGAACCCCGTTTATGACGTAAGGAAGATCACCCAGTACCTAACAAATGCAACCAAGAATCACCGAGTCTGTTACTTCTGCACTGTGACCTCATACTTCATTTCCGTGGTCTATCTCGGCATGTACATCCCCCTGCAAAACATCCATAGGCTGATATTCTCCAAGGTTCTAAATGAGTACGAGAAGCTGATTCTACTGAACAGAATCGAGAAGAACTACATCATCGCTGGCTTTTCCCTTTTCTTAGTCGTGGTAATGTACGGCGTGAGGGCTCTGCTGTCGTACGCTGCAAGTTTGGCCGAAATTACGGACCGACAAAGTGACACATTAATGGTCCATTCAGACTCAAAACTCGACAAGAAAGTTTTTGGCTTATCGGAGAACATTTTGCCCAATCTGTTGCGGGTGAAGCGATCGATTTCGTACGAAACTATCCTGTTTACAAACGAACTCCGCGAGCAGTTGAAAGCCGTTATCAGGAATGTTGAGTTCCCACATAACAGGTGCACGCTATCGAGTATTTTGGAGACCAGTACCGTGAACATTTAATTTGACTTGTGTAACTTCCGTATGCCGACAAATAATAAACTTATAAGAACAATAATTTATATAAGTTTCATTTTACCTCTTACACTACTAGTTTTTTACATGTAGAGTTATATTTGCAATACTAACTAGGTCAGGTAGGTAGGTAGGTAGGGTGATTGCTATAGTAATTGGCCTGTACATAGCTATTGGCCACCTTGGCTAAAATAAAAATAAACAAGCATATGTACGTTATTAAGAGTGGAAAAGAGACACAAATACTTTCTCTGAGCAATACGCTGTCCAATGTAGTATGTCAGAGTAAGAACAGATGGCACTCTAAACAGCAGAAGCTTTCTTTCGACAACGAGTCGTCCGAGTAGCCGCATGCTTGTCAAAATTTTAAGGTAAATATTTATGAATATTGTTTGTAATTTNTGATCTCCGATTTTGACAGATTGATAACGGTTTGTTAAAAAATTTTCAAAAAGCTGTAAGGGAATACCGCGTACACCCACCAATTCAAGTTTCTTTAGTAGTATGACTGTGGGGACTGTGTCAAAAGCTTTGGCGAGATCTAAAAAGACCCCTATACATCTCCGGCCCTGATCTAGATTGGTAGCTATATTGTTAGTTAATTGGGTCACAGCATCCTCTGTAGATTTTTTAGGTTGAAAGCCAAATTGGCATTCAGATAGTAGGTTTTCCTGCTTTAGGTATAGCATCAGTCGTTTGTTCACGAGTTTTTCCATAATTTTTGAGAGGGCTGTTAGGACGGAGATCGGGCGATAGTTCTCGACACAGTCCTTTCTATCACCTTTATGGATAGGATGTACAATAGAGAGTTTAAGGCAGTCAGGAAATATACCCTTGTGAAAACAGGTGTTAAAGATGTGTGATAAGATGGGACTTATAATGCCCTTGACACTTTTCAGAAACTTTACAGGAATACCGTCTATTCCGGTAGCCGAATCATTTTTTAGATTGGTGATAAGCATTTCAATTTCCGAATTGTCCGTATCTAATAATGTAAATGATTTTAAATGAGAATTACTTTTTATACTGCTGTTTAGTTGGGAAATATCAGTGGTGTTTTTTATGTTATCTGCTAACTTATGGCCTATACCAACGAAATACTCATTTACTTCATTCACAGATGAGAGTGGCCCGTTTGGATGTATATGCAGGAGTTCATCTGCTGGGTTTTTAATTTCAGCGGTGTTGGTGAACTTTTTAATCGATTTCCATGTTTGTTTTGGGTTTGTACATCTGTCAACTACCGAGCTTTCGTATTGTTCTTTAACTTTTTTAATTAGATTATTACAAAAATTTCTATATCTGCGATAGGTTATTTTAAGGGTTTCATTTGTAGGAGATTCTTTATGTTTTTTGTGAAGTGCATCACGGTGGGTTATGCAACGTAATAAGCCCGAGGTAAGCCAAGGTTTCAGGATGTATTTTCTATTGGGAGCTTTACGAGCAAATGTATTGGAGTTAAGTGATTCTTTTAAATGATTTATCAATGTTTCTATGGCAATATTAGGATCTGAGATTTTTAGTAGGTTTGTTAGATCAGTGTTTGCGAAACTTTCGGCGGCTTTTATGTAGTTTGTAACTTTTTTAATCTTGTGAGAGTTGCCCTTCATTTTAGTTTGTATTAAGTTTAAAAGTACAGGAAAGTGATCTGTTATGTGAGTTCTAATGACGAGTGTTTGTGCTTTACGGTATGTTTTTAGGTTAATGTGATCCAAGCAATTTAATTCCCTTGTAGGTATGACGTGTGCCGGCAGAAGACCATTTTCTGCAAGTAGATTAAGGTATGTATGACATTTCCGATCTTCGCTAAAAGGTTTTATGTCGATATTGATGTCACCAATTACAGCTATTGTTTTAAATTCATGTATTAATTTCAAATTCTGATCTAATGATGTTAAAAGTCGTCTATGTTATTATGAGCCGGAGATCTGTAGATACCTAAGATAGCAATGTCTGAGGTTTTTAGTAATAGACAGTTTGCATCACAGAAGGCAGGTTCCTCCACAGAATGTGTTATATTTTTGTGTACATACATGACCACTCCATCATTTTGATTATAACAGTTAGATGTATAGTAAAGATTGTAGTTTTCTATTTGAGGAAGCGGTCTGTCTTTAGCCAACCAACTTTCTGTGAGAACTATAATATCACAATCGGTATCCAGACGTTTTAAGAAAGCAAGAAAATAGTCCAGATTTCGAAAAATGCTTCTGATATTGTGTGTTATGATTTTTAGACTTCCCTTAGGACTGAGTAACACTTTGGAACACTCACTGGGCTCTACTAGGGCGGATTCGGAGATAGATTTACTGTCTAGGTCGTCAAGCATGTTAGCTATGTCGTTATTATTCACGGTGATGTTTGGGATTTATGGTACAATTTAAGAATATAATGGTAATTAGTAAAGGTGATAATAGGCTAGTTGCCTAAAAAAATTTTTTTAGTCCGTAATGTTTAATATCAAAAAATATTGGACACGTATATTTTTATTTGTCAATCTAACAAATAATTACATAGTTATGGTGCGTTGAAGTTGCGCACGACGTCACAACGTGCGGCATTTTTAAGCAAGCGTTGACGTCACGGGCCTCTTCTTATGAACTTTGGGGCGCTTTATCTCTTTAAATTTTCATTAGTTTGAAAAAGTGAAAAATACGTGTAGAGTATTTTTTGATAAGTTAACTGACGGACTAATTAAAACTCTTGCTTTTTGACCCAGGCAACATCCCCATTAAGGTTATTTCCACCAGAAAGCAAAATGTTGTGTAGTGGGTTAATTGAAAATGTTTATTTAAAACAGTGCATGCCTTTTTGTTATGTTTTTTGATTAAGTGAGTATAATGTGTAGTGATATAATATGTATGTAATATTTTTGTAGACGTTTAGTGTGTGTAGTAGTTTAATGAGTAAATGGCACGTAAAGATTAAGTGTACATGTGAGATATGTAATGGTGTTAGGTTTTTTAAGGTATGTGAGTTTATGTATAATTGGTGTATTGTGTTAAAGTATAAAGTAAAAGTATTTAAATATATATGAAAACAAAGAAAAATTCGAACCCTGAAGTAATGCCTAAGTAGTCACATTGTGTTGCTATGCAGCTTGTTTAAGTCCTCTTCACTGGTAATAAGCACAGCTTTGCTGCCCTCCTCCTTACGCAGATAGATGTAACCATGGTTCGTCCAGCAGAACTTGTAGCTGTTCTCAGTAGCGAATTTTCTCGCCGATGCAAAGACTTTTTTGGACTGCATTGTGAGATGGTCTGATATGTATATAGGTTTCTTTGGTCCATCGATGTGTGCGTGAGCAGTTGTTAAGTTTGTTTTCGTGTCCTGTCTGAATTTCTTTACTGCGTTCAGCAACGACACTTTTGTAGGAACAGTGGCAAACTCGACGACAATAGGCATTGTTGTAGAAGTCTTTGATTTGTAGCGAAAAGTGTCTTTGATGTCGAGGTTTTTTAACTCCATATTAACTGATGAGCCGATACTCTTCACAATGTTGAGCAAATCCTCTTTATTTTCCGAGACGGATTTAGGGACGTTTCTGATTTCTATGCTTGAATTGCGGGCATTCCGCTCAATTTGCTCAATCCTGGTCTCCAATGTTTTTATGTATGTCAGTTGTTTTACTCTTTCTTTTTCACAGCTTTCTAATCTGATACTCAGTTCGTCGTACTTTTGTGATATAAATTCCATCGACTTCGCAATGTCGTTGTTTTGCTGTTTGATTTCGTCTACTGTGGACTGCAGTTTGGTGAATTTTGAGTTTAGTTCTTCTGCGGCTGAGGCTTGCATTTTTCTCATATCTGCCATAAATGCCTTCATATCTTCTTCTATCATGTCACCCCGCTTCCTTTTTTGTTCCTGCCTCAATGTAATATTTCTCTCGGAGCTTACAGTAGAAAGGTCCGGGGCAGATCCACTGCATTCATTAGACGGCGAACGTGTTAGCGGCATATTTTTTGTGTGTTCGCAAAATAATAACTATTTTGTACAGTAGCTGTGTGACGGGTCTTTAAACACTGGAGTCTATCGGTGAATTCTCACTTAACCGCTTTCCGTCAATTGTAAATTGAGCCGGGGTCGCGTTGAAGTGGTCGCTATCGAGGAATTGGTACAACTTTACGTTCCGTCCAGTATAACAAGACCCCCGTCGGTGACTGGTTGCGGCGCGGCGGTTGAGTGTGTGCACGTCCGAGCTCCTCGGGTGTCCGCGGGCGAGAGGAAGAATGAACATAAATTAAATTCTCATGTGTGTGGTGGTGTCACCACTATTTTGCCGAAGCGTGGTACACTTATTGAATTTAAGAATTTTGAAAAAATGCAGGATATGCCGTTTGTAATATACGCGGATTTCGAATCCCTTTTGCAAACCAGTCCGGATGGTCCGAGTTCAAATTGTACCGAAACGTTTCAAAAACACATACCAGCTGCTTTTGCTTATTACGTTGTCTGCTCTTATAATAGTTTATTAAACCGTTACGTATCTTATCGCGGTGAAGATTGTGTTGAAGTTTTTATAAAAAATATTAAGAGAGATGTATCAAGAATAATACAACTTTACAAAAATCCAATCCCCATGAAAAAATTAACAAATTACGAAGTGGAAATGTTTCAAAAAACAAAATATTGTTATTTGTGCAATCAATTATTATTTGACGATAGAGTTAAAGACCACTGTCACCTGACAGGCAAGTATCGTGGTGCGGCACATTCTTTACTGTAATCTTAATTTTCGTTTACCGCAATTCGTACCTGTATTTTTTCATAACTTGTCGGGCTACGATAGCCATTTATTTATTTGTCAATTGGGACAAACATCAGGACCCATCAAGGTTATAGCTAAAAATAAAGAAAATTACATATCATTTACTAAGTTTTTTACGACAGATGACAATAAACATATGGCGGTTCGTTTTGTAGACTCCTTTAAATTTTTGGGCACAAGCCTTGAAAAATTAGTTTCAAATTTAAATACAGAAGATTTTGCACATTTACTTAAATTCTTTCCTGAACATGAGAAGTTCGAGTTGTTAAGACGGAAAGGTGTGTACCCATATGAATATATGTCCACCTGGGAGTCATACAATGAAAAGGAACTGCCTCCTCGACATTGCTTCTATACAAGTTTAAGTGATTCTACTGTTTCAGAGTCTGATTATAAACATGCTAATGATGTCNTATAATATTTTGTAGCGATTCTTTATTGGGTTTCAAATTGACTAAAATGCGACGATGCCAAACGAACGCGATGCGGGTAATAAGCAATACTCAATCCTAAATGCTTTACATAGAGCTTGGTTTGCTAGGGCAAACATCTACAGTGGTGCGCCGACGCTGCTTAGACCCGAAATATGAATGAACGGGGGCGGAGCATAATCGAGCGTGTGTGTGCAAACAATTTAGGCCCTTAAGGTGTCAAGGCGTTCGAGTCCCCGATAGTACATGTACTTTGTTTTCAGTCGAGTAATAGAAGTGATAGTATCCTTACCATTGCCAAATGTCTCAAAAATTACAAAAATGTTGGTCTCCCCATCATCCTCAATTCCGTTTCAAATTGAAACCTTCCGTTGCAGTTGACACGGGACAATTTATACGGAGATCCGAAACGGTGGTCCTGGTCACTATATAGTTTTTGCGTCGTCTGTCCTCATTAAATTCTACTTAGGTAGTAGGCTAAATTATATTATTATACGTAACTAACTTTTGCCCTCGCTTTTGCTCGTGTGGATTTCGATCGATCACAGAGGCCCATTTCAGTTTCTGAGGTTTTTAGCTTACGTGCTCATCTTCTACTTAGGGGCCGTCCATATATTACGTCATTCTAAATTAGGGGGGGGGGTGTTTCGAAATTGACGTCATTCTTATTTATTTATTTATAGTTTATTGTTCACCTACAAAAAGATTATTTCTAAAAAGAAATTTCTTCCAGCACACCTAGGTTTGCACCCGGGGCGATCCCCCCAGGATTTTTGGGGTTTCCTACCGATTGAAAGACAATCGCACCCCCCACCCCCCCGTATCATGACATAGACCGCAGATTTGCCATGCAGATGTGCCAGGGAGTACTAATCTGCGCGACTTGTGTCACCCCCTGATGCTTGGCACCCGGGGCGGACCGCCCCCCCCTCCCCTTCCGCCGCTACTGATTACATATAATACTAGCTGCCCGCCCCGGCTTCGCCCGTGGTACTTACGTGTATTATACATATAAACCTTCCTTAAGAATCACTCTATCTATTAAAAAAAAATAAAAAGTGATTCTACAAGTGTTTTAATTTTGTCAAACTGGTAATGACGTCAATTTTGGGAGAAGGGGGGGGGGGTCATTAAGAAATGACGCTAGGATGATTGTAGGGGGGGGGGTCTAAAATCTGAAAAAATCGATGACGTAATTTATGGACGGCCCCCCCCCCCCCAGGCCAGAAACTGGGTATTAGCATCATATTAAGTATTATTATGTTCAATACAAACAATCATTAAGTTACACTCACCCCAACCGCGTCTCCGCATTGCATCGAATCCTATGAAAATGTGGTTTTTGGACATAGCAATACTTATTTTTCACAATTTTTATTTTTAAAAATTACTGGTCGATAGGTTACTTTATTTTGAAAAATAAATGTTATTAAAAGTTTTTTTCTAAAACTGATAGTTTAGCCGGAAAAAAATATTTTCCATCCCATTAGTACGCCGGCTGCGCTCGATTCGGATATAATGACGTCACGCGGCCTTGCGTACGTTGACTTTTAGCGGCAAAAACGGCCTATGTTTATTACTTAATATCTTCGTAAGTAATGGTCCGATTTGGATAATTCAAAAAGATATATCTTTCTTATGTCTTAAAGATTAACGTAGATACTAGTTTTATTGAATTTTCTACAACAGTACTGATCCTCATTGTTACAATGTTACTGAATGTACTGACGATGATGAGATACATGAAGAAATCGATAAGAGTGATACTGATGACGAATTCTTAGCTAATCTTAAAGAAAGAAAAAATGAGTTAGGATTACAAAGTGTGAAGTTTCAGTGATTTTTATGGGTTTTTTTCGGTGGCTAATAGCTGTACTTCTAGGAGCCAATTACTGTGTTTTTGGGGCCAATAGCTAAATTTAATGTGACCTCTGATATTTTTAAAATTATTATTGTAATTCTTATCGTATAACACTAAATAGGTACTAGCTTAAATAGCAGCAATATTGTTTTCTCATAATAAAATATAAAAAGTAAACAAAAGTCGAGCATTGTTACATTTTACACAAGTTAACTTACACAACACTTTTAAAGGGCCAATAACTGTAGCAATCACCCTACTGCACTCTTCCTTATTTTTAGTGAAGACTTACAATTCCATTTGTAGAGTAAATATTATCTGTAGGTAAGATTTCAGACGCACAAATTTTATTTTTCCTGTAAATTAATTACCTGTACCAGAGATAAGTTCTAGCAGTTCTAGTCAATAAAAATCTGTCTTTTTTTCTCTGATTTGCTAACTAATAGATCCAAGCTATCATTAAAAAGTAAATTTTCATGTGCTCCAGATACCTATTCGATTCGTTTCCAAAACAGGACTTTTAGGAAGCATCTCTATCCCGAGAATAGAAATAGTCTTAGAAGTGTACATAGCATGTGCTGCAATGTGGGAAACACTGCCAAGTATTCGGGAATTTCTGGGAATTACGGCGGGGAGGCGACGGGAAATATTTGGAAAGACAGACTCGTAAAAATAAAACGCCTCCAAAAGCAAAAGGAAAGAAAAATGGCAAATAGAAAATGTGTGGGGCTGCGAGTGTGAGGCGCACATTAAAGCGGAATGGTTTCCGTTGAATTGAGTGTGTTTTTTGGATCTGCAGAATGTTACAATACGGCCCAAATGCTGTGCGTGCGAGCATATTTTGTATTTAAAATAAATACAGCGGAAACTCTTAAGCCGGGCAAAATGTAGGTACCTACGTCAATGTATGCTGTAATTGAGTTAAATTTTGGTTACTGACATAGAGTATGGTTATTTCTGTTCAGGCATTCTGAAATAATGAGGGAAAATGATTGAAAAGATAATTAGTAGGCATATAATTATGTATTTTGCAGTAGGTAACTCAATGATAGTAGGTATTTAATTTAATGATATTGGACCATCTGCACACATAACAAGTCACCTTATGTCAAACTCTTTTAAAAAAATATTTTTTAATGTTTTTTATCAAAAATCAGTGACTTGAGTAAGTACCTACTTGGTTATGAATAAAACAGATAATGTCCGTGATTTATAACTAAGTCAAGTCGTAGCTTTGATCTGCGGCATATTAGCTGATGCTCTTAAATATCCCTCCAAAGCAACCAAAAAAGCTTCTAACTTTTGAGGAATTATGTATCTGCGGATAACCAAAACCCCGACGTATCTTTGATTTATTGGAAAAAATATACGGAACACCAACTCCACTCGTTCACCCATAACCCACCTAAATAATCGAGTCGTATCGCCAACTTACATCGAAGTCCTTGTATTTCCTTGGCCGGCATACAAACAGTTAGGAAACTTTGCAACGAATACCTATTTGGGAAGACACATGCGTGCCAGAATTTTGGCAACGGATCAAAATAGCTGGTGTGGCGCCAGCGGTATATCAGGTATTGGGGGCTGGAGCCCCACTTTTGGTATAGAGCTTATAACGGCAGCTAACGGCTTTATAGCTGGGATATTTTGCAGGGTAATGTCGGTTTTGTCATCATAATTTTAGCCCATAGCATCTCTCACTGCTTAACATATTATGCCCTCAAAGTGCACTGCAAAACTACGAGCAAACTTCTTGATACATCATCAGACCATCGAGAAAAGGGTTTACACAACGTTTTCCGTGATAACCATTGAAGTAACATTTTATTCCTTTTTACCTTTCATCCGCTATGTGTGATAAGTACGTTGCCATTTTTAGCTTACATCCTCTTAATTT